GCCATTAATCTGCTCAGCATTCAGAGAAACACCTACTGAGACAAGGGAAAAGGAAAGGTTCGGTGTGGTGGGGAGATGCGGGTCCTGAGAAGTCACACAGCCACGCAGAAGACAAGACAATCAAATCTTTTTATGTCCTTTGAAAAATAAAGATTCGCTCCCCTTACCAGGGCACATCCATTTACAGATAACCCTATGTTCACTATAGCGCCAGTGGAAGAGAAGAGAGAATTGGTACAGCAGGACCTAACAGACTTAAACTGAGGAAGRAAGAAGTGTGCTTTAATAGAAATGTACATATCTGCACAGAAGAGATAGGCTAAATCAGAGCATGTGTCGCATAATAAATTGGCTCTTTTGGTTTTTTTTCCAGCTGCTTCAGGATCTAACTATCCAGTCATCCCAGCTTAGGCTGTGGGGTTTTGGAAGCCTAACACAGAGCACTAACATCTGTTTCTATTCCCCTCAGTGTCAAATCTGTCAGAACATGAAAACACACCAGAAAGAGAGAGCCCTGTCATATAAAAATAAACTCTCCACTTCCAYGGCTATCCCGAAGTACTTAATGTGGCAGCTCTCTTACATTTCCATTTTCTACTTCAAAATAATATTGCTCCCTTTAAATATATCTTTTTTTTAGCCTACTTTAGTACCTGCCATATTTCCTTGCAACGTATCTGCATGCTGTAGTTCTTCATGGCTTTATTTTGATATCACTGGCTAAATTTCAGCATAAAACATAAATACAACAACCAAGTCTCATACCAAGTGACAATTAAGCTATCCAGTATTTAGCACTTGTTTACTATTAAAATCTTTTTACTTCTCAGCAACTTCTACTCCAGTCTTACTCATCTCTCTACTATTCCTAACTTGAGGATTCAGACCAGTGCTCCACTTTACACAGTAAATAAAATCTTGCATTAAACCATTACAATAATTTAAAAGAAAATTGTTTTGTAAAATGTTTCTTAAAAAGTCAAGTAAACTTTTCACAGCATAAGATACTTGACCAACTAGAATCTTTAAAAGGTTTATTCAGTTTCACTTTAGTGAGGTAGTTGTGTTACTTATGGACAAAAAAAGCATTATTATTATCATCATTACATTTAAAAAGCATAAAAGCAACCTAAATAAAAAGAAATGAAAAGGCTATATATTTCAATTTGACATATAGATTGTGATATAGATGAATACACAAAAGTAAGAAAAACATCCTCCATCTCTAGAACCTTTCCATCTTTGAAAATGTATTAGCAAGCTAAGTAAGTTTTTCTATCACGAGATTTCTTGTGGGAAATGTTAAATGCTAACGAGAACAAATAAACTCTGATTTTGAAATGACTCACCAAAAGCTATTATGGAATATTTGAAGAATATCAAATACTGAAGACGATTGCATCCCTTACACTCCTCTATAATCCCCTGTGCTTGCCTGGTCCTGCTGGCATTGCAATGACTATGTATGGCCTTATATTTATCCACATGTTTACATATCTCACTCAAATGTGTCCAAACTGTCTGTGCTCGGTATTACTACTGTCTCAACACAGTATAACTTATTACCAAGAGATTCTGGAGATTCTGGAGATCCAAAGTGAATACAACCAGGCCTTCCTACTCTTAGCTGATCTGTGGTGAGTACGCATTAAAAACACAATGCTATATTCACGCAGCATAAATGCAAAAAGAAAAGGTGAACATGGGCATTAGTTGGCCACATCCATACAACTCAGTAAAGACCATGAAAACTTCTCTGCTTTGCACTTCATAGCCTTGTTATCCTTGGACAGATTACACAAAACAAGCCCCTTCTCACTACACTAGCGATCATAAAGGGAGAATGAAGAACGGAAGGGGAGTACTGAAACAAAAACTACTCGAAACACCRATCAAAAATTTGTCCTCTGTGACAGCCTTTCTCATTCCAATATAAATAATATAAATAATTCTAATGGTAGCTTTTCCAGGATAGGGAAAATAGCAAAACCTTTCCCATATAGGCACATTCTCGCAGTTCCTTAGCACCTCTTCATCCTCCTGCCAATGACGAGTGTACCAGTAGAAGTAGTTTCACCAACATAGTTAAACCAACAAAAGGACTTTCTTCCTCCCACCACTAGGTCAAGTCAGGCTTACAACTCGCTTCCATACCTGTTTATATTACATATTATCCACGAGAACAGCACAATTATCACAGCTCAAGACTACAATAACTGCAGTAATATAGTTTCACTTCACAGGGTATCACAAATCAAGCAGGAAAACAAGGTAAGTATGATATGTGCACTACATTTCCCCACAAATCCCACTTACGTGCTGTCTGTCTCCTACACAAGAACAATTTATTAAGGAAAATATGGCTTATAGGAATATGGACTCTGTATGAACTATACACATCATAGAATGTTACATTCTGTAAYCCCACAAAAAGCTATGGTCTAAAAGATTTCTCCTTTATCTAAGCAAATACTCTATTCCTACTAACTTCAGTGGAAACTTCATGTCCTCTATGCAACCTCCTTAGAAAAAACTACAGTCTTCAGCTTTTCCTTCAGCCTAAAGGAAACATGATTTCTACTACCGTAAGTTCAATAAATATTCCTACCAGTGACATAGCCCAAGAGATATGGCAGACTAACTCCAGACTTTCATTGGAACTGCAGTCTCTATAGCTACATTGAATTTTAGAAGTGCTACAGAGCAGGATAGCATTCGGACAGAGAAAGAGCTGGTGCTGAAAGCCTAGGCCCAAATTTCCCCTGTTGGGGGAGGGAGGGGAGTTGCTTCAAACCAGCTCTCATTCGCACGCTCTTCAGTAGCCAGATGTGTTCCTACAGAAAGTCTCCCACTTCAGTTCCATCCCAAAGGAAACCAGTCTGGGTGCCCTGAGACCCATTCTCAAGGTAAAACAAAGAAAGAATGGATTACTGGAAGATCTGCTTCAAAATCACACTTCTGGCCTGCAAATACAGACTCATCGCATGTCTTCTGGGTACTTGTGTAGTTTTTACACAACACCTGCCAAGGTTGAACACATAGGAATAAGCCTTCRGTTATCAACAGAATGGAGAAAACTTCTGTGGTCGACACCTCAGTAAAGCTCATCCTACCACCYATAAGAGTTTCAAGAAAAGAGAAGGGTAAACCTCAAGTGAGAGGATCTAGCCTCCAGATCAAGAAGTAACCAGAGGAAAAAAGACAGTGCTGGTTGTGATGGCATATATGAAATAAACACAGTCTCCCCATGGGCTGTAGTCCAGGGTTGTCCTTACAAAAATCAGCCAACGCATCTGTTCTCAACAGCAGCCTTAGCAGATAGGCCAAGGGAAAGCTCAGAAGGTATTTGCTCAAATCAGCACTGAGGTACAGTCAGAATGCATGACTCTTCCCTCCAAAGGCTTTAAATCCTCTGAATTATCATTTCAATCCTGTTCATTAGCATCAACAAGCATGGAAAAGCTGACAGAGAACCAGGTGATTAACTCCTGCCCTCCTTCCTTTCTTCCTATGATTTATTTGGGTCACCTTGATCCATATTTTGAGACATGAATTTCATTATTTGGGATGCAACTAGAAATACAGAGAGACTCTTTTTGTAAGGAGCTTAGCATTTACCACTTGAATATTTATCTTGTGTCTCAAGCTGTCAGGCCCAAAATTAAACGCATTGCAAATTCTTTAAATTTACTAAAGTGGCTGAAAACCGACACAYGTAAAAAATGGGACTTTAGTTCAAATACTGTAAATCATTCCCTTAAGATACTTTCTATTTTTTTACAGTAAATAAAATCTGATTGCTAAATGAAAGTAAAAGGCAATCTCCCAGCCACTTTCTCAAATAGACTTGTTAAAAAAAATGTGAAAAACAGAAAACACATTGGAACCTTTACCATTTTTCATGGTTCTAAGAATAAACATATGGAGAAAATAAGCTACTCGGTAGATCTTATTTCACTCCAGTGTCTGTCCTTTCATTCTGCCTGTCACAGCCAAGTTGCAAATTTCCTCTTCCATGATAATAAGCAGAGAGTTCACAGATCTCCCCRCAGCAAAGCAGGAAGTTTGCAGTTTGAAGGATTTCCCCTCTTTGACTAGACAGGGGAGGGGAGAAAAGGGTTGGGGGGGCTATTGTGAAAGATCATCTGCAAAACTGAGCTGGCAATTTGGATATCGTCTGCACACTTAAGCTGGCCATTCGGATACGCTTATCTCAACAAGGCCCTAAAGTGATGCTACCAACACCATGTGTGAACGGGAAAGAAAYATTGCACACACATCTCATGGAAATTATGATGTTGCTTTGGCTCTTTCAGCAGAGAGCATGAAATCCTGCCTTTCTGATTAAGCTATTACCTGCCACAAATAAACTTATCCACAGCAATACACAGGAGGAAGCCGAAACTGCTGCAATCCAGCGCTCACAAGAACATGCTTTCTTCCCAGCTGAGCCCTGTATCACCAGTAGGACCGAGTGCCACATGTGGCTTTAATGCCAAGCAGCTGCTGCAGCCCCCTGGCTCTCTCCCTCACCCCCCTGCACTACTTTGTTTCCAGGACTATTGAACATAACAGGATTAAGGCAACCTGTAAAGAGCACCAGCGCCAGCATCCGAGGCAGAGTTGAACCCAAACACGTTCCCCCCTCAGCCGCCGTGCCCAGAGATGTGAGATCATCTGGGCAGATGTGAGATCATCTGGGCAGGCTCCCCAGGGAGGGCAAGGTGGGGGGCAGGGGACACCCCGACCCGGCCATTTCAAAGTCTGCAAGTTCAAAGCCTCCCTTTTAAGCCAACGGGAGCGGAGCCCGGCACTGCTCTGTGCTGGAATACGCTTGCCTGGCCAAGCCGCACTCCGGTCCAGTCGTCCCTCTCACACCCTTCCCAAGGAGCAGCCCTTCCGGGCAGGCTGCCTTCCACAACCACGGCACAGGGGCAAGCAGAGCTCCCTGTGCCTTGTCCCGCAACCTGCAGGCCGAGGGGCACCTCCGTCCCACTCACCGACACCAGGAACTCCAGTGTGCCCACGTAGTCCCGCTCCGTCTTGAGCAGCTCGTTGAGGACACACACGCGCAGGCGAAGCTGCTTCTCCAGGTCCTTCCCGCTCTCCCCCTTGCCATCCCCTTTGCTTTCCTCTGTCATGGTGCGAGGAGCAGAAGCGGCGTTCCCAGCGCAGCGTTCCCGGCTCCTCTCCCAGCGGCAGGCAGCGCTGCCMGAGCGCCCCGGCTGCAGGAAAGGACAACAAAAGACCCCGCTAAGTTACAGAGCGCTGGGCTCTGGCTCGTCCCAAGCTGCAGGGCAGCCGCAGCCCCTTCTCACCCGGCTCCAGCGGCAGCGCGAGGTCCGGAGGCAGAGAGCCACCCCAGTGCGCGCTCCTTTCCCGTCAGGAAGGGGACACAGCCCGGAGGAAATGAGCGGTCACTGGTTCCCAGCTCACCCTGTTAGCTGAGAGCTTGGAAAGCCTCCGCAGCAGCACAGACTTGGACATTAATCAAAAGCCTTGTATCCATGTGACTCCAACCCCTTCCCCCCTTCRCTAAATCTCAGGAAAAAGGAAAGGAAACAACTTCAGGGAAGATTGCGTGCCAGCAGCTGCCTGTTTCACACAACACTAGAGCTGTGAGCTCTAGTTTGAGGCTAATTGGAGATCTCCAACAACAGAGCACAAGAATTATAAAAATGTCTCAGCAAGCCGKCCAGCCTGGGAATAAGCAGAGTTTTTATTTTGCTTTAATAATCAGACCAAAAGTTATTTCAATTGCTCCTTCTACACGCTGCCATAGATATTATAAATATACATACGTACACCAATGCATTAAAAATACATTTTAATCATCTTCTGAACACACATAGTTCAGTATGTGTATGTGCTAAGGAGGATCAAACAGTATATTCCAGAGTAAATACAGATAGRTTCCTCTAAGCTAAGTTGCTTTGTTGTATTGTTGTTGAAAAAAACAAGGTGCTATAAAATCCATCCAGGTTATATGGCTTTCTTGTCTACATCGGAAGTTCAGATTTGCATCATATATTAAGAGAATTAAAAAAAAAAAATCTGTTTGTAACCTTTTCACACCTAAAGCAAGCAGTATATAGCTGTGCTAGATGAGAAATGGTTTCTTGAAAGCTTAAATACATCAGGACACTCTTGTTTGAATTTTGAGACCTYTAATGAAAGTTGAAGGTTTCTCTGGCCAGCTCTTAGATCTGTTACTGGAAGAAAAAACAGGTATTCAGCTTCAAAGATTCCTTATCAAAGTTTACCTTTCAAACAYCCACAACAGACTGAAGGGAAAGAATGAGTGAAAATCAGGGTATAAAGCTCTTATACAGCCACAGTATCAGCCTAGGCAGCAAAGAAAACCTACTAAGTGACAAACAGCAGAGATTCATTCATATTCTGTTACTCAGATTCATYAACAAGCTGTCTGCCTCAGACATTGATGGGGGAAACAGAGAATACAGTTCTCACAAGATGTTTCTCAGAGAGCTGAAATAATAAAACTTGTTTCTTTGAATTTGTGTCCTCTTCCCTAGATTCCTCTTTCCCAAACACRCACAGCTCCCTCTTGTAATAACTAGGCAAGAAGCAGGAGCTACTGTGGCTGGTTCTGCTGCATGTATCATACTCAGCCACTAAGTATGGACAGACCAYCTAAGTATGGACACACCAGCCTGCAACTTGCCTAATGAGCTCAAACTAGCTCTTCTGTCAAGAGGAGTTTGGGACTCCATTTGAAAAGCAGCCAGGCTTTTTGTTAAAAGCAGAACTTCATATTTTTGAGCACTTTGTTGCTCTGTCAAGTCTGATTTAAATACAACAATGTTCAAACCCATCTGGGACAGAAATGACAACACAGTCCAGTCATTTAAGTTTGCTTCCTTAGGAAAATGACCTAGAATAAAGAACCTGCCTGAAAATTAGCTCAAGGTCTTCTCAGCCMCTGAGACGGGCTCCACCAGTGAGGCACAGAACCCAGGTCCCAGGGTTCCTGATCCTACGGAAAAGATGAGCACTAGCACCAAGAATTCTGATGCTGTACTGGAAAGGCAAAAAAGCAATCCACTGAGCCACACATGGTATCAGTTTTCTCAAGTGGTGACCAGCATGAGGGATCAGAAACCACTGGAGTACGGAATACTGAGCCAACAATCTCTCCCTCCAAAACATGTAGGTGCTCTTTCTTAGGTAGTCCTAGCCAGAGGCCTCAACCTTGTCACTTTTCCTATCTACCAGACCCTCTTTTCCTTTGGAAAAATGGAGATGGGGACCCRTTTCTGAGTCTGAAATCCTCTTTGCCAGCATGCCATTTGTTTTYATAATCCACAGGCATATTTGCAGAGGTAGGTAAAGGCTAGGGAGACCAAAACTGCAACATAGTGTCTTTTTCTTCCCTACCAGCTATAGCAGTAAACATCCTTTTCCTTCAAATGTTTGTCATCTTATCACATTCCCAAGAGACCTTAACACTTAAGTGATCTTTGTCCCAACTTACAGTTCTGTTGCCCGTACATCTGATTCTTGTTCCTTCAGTAATTCAGGCAGACAGCTCTAACCATTGAGGTCAGCAGGAGCATCACTGATAATGGAGCAGAGAAATAGCAAATTGAACAGGTGGCACTAATATCMTAGGAGGCAAGGAGAAGGTTAATAATATCTAAGAAACCAGGTGCAAACTGCTTGAGAACAAAGTGTTAGAGATGAGAAGAGAGGAGTACACATAACTCCTGGCCCACTGCTGTCTCCTCTCTTCTCATTCTAACCATCTTTACACTCACACTAAACTCACACTAAACCATCTTTACTACCACAAGTTTTACATAGAAATCCTTATTTGTACAGAATTAACCAAAATAATAAACTTTTTTTTTAAATCTTTTACATTAGTTTTACAGGAAGATGCTCTATAAACTTGTGGAGGCAGTGTGTAAATATTAATCTAAGGCTTAACAGCTATCTCATACAATCAAAAGATTTCAAACATTTTGACTAACAGTTGGGCCTTTAAAAAAAAAAAAACAAAAAAGAAAAGAAAAAAAAAAGGAGAGATTTTTAACCTTAAACTGCTACAATCCTGCTGTCAGAGTAGGGATGCTCTGGGCTTGGCCACATAGTTTTTCACAAGTCTTTAATAATGGTCCTTATGCAAGAATTTCAACTTTTTTTTTTTTTTTTTTTTTTGCTGCCACTAGCACAAGTAACACAACAAGCATCTCCACAGCAAATGCAAGCTTATTATTCAGCATCCTTACAAGTTGTGAATTTCTGCATAATCCAAAATTGATTTATCCAAAAATGAATCTAAAARTATATATTGAAATTATAACTTTTAAGAGAATGAGTGACTAGCAAATCACTTGAAAGAATGTATTAATTTTTTTTTCTATAAGAATCAATTTATATTTAAGAAATAGTGCAATAAGAAGTCATGGAAATCGTGATGGCAAGCAATCACTTCAGACATGAACTAACCCAAACTCATGTTAAAATCTCCTCAGGCAGCTCTAATAAGAACATTTAGGAAGAAGCTCACCATCCCTGCAGCCAGTATGGCAGAGTATGAGTGATGTTCCCTAGGCTCACCACTAACTTCGTACATTTTGATGAATGCTATTTAAACTAAAACCTCACCTTTCCTAATATATYTGAGCAGAAGGACAGAGCAGACAGCAAAGGACTGTTACTCCAGCTAAGAAAGATGAGTCCCTTCTCCTGCACTATCAAGCGCCCTGAACTTAGMCCCAACAAGTGCCTCTGACCCCTGCTTATCGCCACAAATTTCCCTGACACCATAAGGGAACTGCACCACATGTCCAGGTCAACTGGACCAGGACTGGGCACAGCTGCCCCACCAGCAATGGCAGGGCTCTCACTCCCAACAACCAGCTGCAGCTTCCTGCAGCCCCTCAAACCTCCGGAGCCYCCCCACGCCCTGCCAGAACCCCAGAACTCCTCACTCTCATAACACAAGCACAGCTCTCTYCCCTTTGCACCTGACACTGCCTCACACCTGCCCTACACAGACCATCACAACAGCCCTCAGGGCACTCTGTGCATGAGTTTCCTCAGAGCCTGAACTCCCTACCTGGACACTGTCACCAACGTCTCTAACACTAAAGCAATCGGGTTGTGACTCAGTTCAGCTCTGACTCCACAAGGGAGCCATGGCCACAAACCTCCCAATACTATTTTCAGAAACCCTGAACCTCCAACACCCTTGTAGATCCAAATCTACAAGATTCAGATCTTGTAGATCCACCCTAGATAGATCCAAATCCCCTAAATCCTATGTGCCAACACCCAAATGCCAAAACAAGCTGGATACCTCTATTCTAGACTTCAAACTCAAGCCCAGCATGGGACTCCCATGCTATCCTACTACTGTGTAACACAGGAGATCAATAATCTATAGACAGTTAGAGACTAGCTAGTTTTTATATGCATCACAAAAGTCTTTATTAATCATTACCCCTAAGTAAAGCAAAGAAGGGGACCCACTTTCTACCCCACTTTGATGGTTATGGTAATGACTGAAGAAAGCAAAATACCTGAAATGCATTTGAAGAGTTATCTCACTGCTTGAAACAGTCCAGTTATTTCAGTCAGCTTGGCATAGCTAAGGCAAGAAGAAATCAAATCCAGTTTTCTCTCATATCTGAAGACAGGATAAAGGGGTGGCAAAGCCTCTGCTTGTCTTTAAAAATCCTATTTTCTCTCAAGTATTAGTACTCTTAGAACATATCTCTCTCCATAATCTTCTATAATTTTACTCCTGTCCCATCAAAACAGTTAGCAATGCTGCCACCACAGTGTATTTTTGAAGTGAGGTTCCATATCATTAGCCTTAGCACTAGACTATGGCAATGGAAACACAACTAAATACAACTTTAGTTGCCAATATGGCAATGGAAATGCAACTTTAAAAGATTAAAGGAAAGACTACTTCAGTTGAAATACTCATCATCTGAATCCTCATCACCCAAAATATTTTTGCCTCTCTTCATGGGAAATTATTTTCTACTAATCATCTTCCTCCCAGCCTAATTTTACCTGAAGACAGTATTTCAGCTTCCAGAAAACAGAAATGAATGCAGAGTGGATGAAACAACAACTATAAAGAAAAACGTAATCTAGAAATTGG